TCTATGAAATAATGTAACATGAAGGAAGTTACGGAACAGTGGGAATAGTCTAATTCAATTTGCCTTTGAAAGAAGAAAAATATGCTGTACAAAAGGGGTCTCTAAATCTAGGCCATAACAACTGGGCTATACAGCAAGAGGTGAGCAGTAGCTAAATACGTGTAAGTCTCATCTGTATGTAAAGCTGCTCCTCATCTTTTAAATTACAAGCGGAACTCTAGCACTTGTCTTATTCATGGCAACATTAGATTCTCATAGGAACACAAGCTGGATTGTATGCTCTTTACAAGAAACTAATGCCTAATGACCTGAAGTAGAGCTGAGGCAATGATGCTAGCATGGGGGAGCAGCTGCAAATACGGATGGACATTAGGGAAGAGATGTGATTGCAGAGTACATAGTAAATCATTTTTATGAAGACTCATATCAAAACCTGGCCAGTGAGTGACAAGTGCCAGTTAAGCTACATATGGTGGCAGGTTTTACAGTGGCAAGTAAGCTGATATATTTCAAATGTACAGTTGCATCTGGTAGAGGGTGCTGAGTCAAAATATAACACTTATTTTTGTCTGTATTTGGTTTTTCCCATTATTATTTACCATTTCCATCTCTACTTCTTTCCTTGTGTCTCATACAGTTTTAGTAAGTTGACAAGAAAACTCTAGACAAAAAAAATGAATAAAAAACAAACATCTCTGGAGAGCTTCTTAGAAGAGGGCAAGACCCAGTGATAAGACACCAGAAGACTCTAAGAATGTTAAAGAAAAGCTGAATTTATAAAAATAACACCAACAATCCAACTTAAACTATGAGATCATGGAAATATGTGATTCACATACTCCAAGCTTATTCACATAGTTTGCTTTCTACAAATGCGGCATCTGGCTATTCAATTAAATCACAAAGTCTTCAAAACTGGTCTCTTTGTCACAGAGACCAAAAGAGCTGCATTAAAAGACAAGCTTTGAGTTTTCTGAAAGAAAAAATTGTGAACATGAAGAACAGAAGCAACTTATTGAAGGCCACCATGTCATCAAATGTGTCTGCAATGACAGAATAATTCTTATGGCTAACTGCATCACTAAATTTAAGAACCCCGTTAGTAAACAGGTGATCCTTCCTAATGCAAAGGACAATTGTTATGAACCTTAGGAGAGACTGCAGTTCAAAAGATGGCACATGTTCCTCTTTCTACTAGTACCACAGTGAGATACATTAAAGAATGAATAGAGGATATTCAAGCATTAATAAGTCATTATGGCTTGCAATCTAGGTTGACAACTGTGTCAGCGTTGACAGGAAGGTGACAATGCTTGTTTTTATGTGGTTTTTTAAGGAAGATCTGCATGAGGATACATGTACTTTTGTTGTCAACCAACACCACAGCTACAGAACTATTCATGTCTTTCAGTGATTACATGTCAGGAAAACTTAACTGGTCATGTTGTATTGGTATATAACTAGACAAAGCAAGAACCATGACTGGCTTTCTGGTTTCACTATTTGAGTCGTAGACGCTTCTGGATGTGAGTCTACATACTACTGTGTCATCCACAAATGCTGGTCAGTCAAAAAATGCCACCTGAACTGAACATTTTACAGGATGTGACTAAAATTAACTACCACATTAGATAAATGCCCTTAAGTCATATTTGTTCATGCATCTCTGTGAGACAGCTTTTTAAGTGTAGATCACTGGGCAGAGTTTTAAAATTAGAAAAGCTGCTCAAGAGATTTTTTTTTTTTTTTTTTTTAAACTAGTCGCTTCTGAAAGCACATTTCAGTGACACAGAACAGGTCACAAAATTTGCTTACTAGTGCAACATATTCATCCTGTCAGTGAATTTAATTTGTTACTTAAGGGAAGAATGAGAACTGTGTTCAAGTTGGCAGACAAAATACTTGCATACGAAGTCAAACTAGAACTACAGGAGAGATAACACTAGGATTTTTGACATGTTTCAAACATTAGCAGAAGTTTTCAGAGAGTAATCCAGGGCCCCCTTTTCTCCTAGATGCTTGAACATTATTTCCCAACTGCAGAAGATCCCCAAAATGGGAAGAAATGAATCATGCAGAAAAACATGATTTTCTGTAGTAACCACAACCAAAATGAGAATACAGTAGACTGGACATAAGCAACACACTTTGGCTGTCACTCTCTACTATCACTCCTAGAGGGGACCATATGGCTCCAGGAAAACAAGCTCAGGGCTCCCTGATTCTGCATTATGGTAAATTACATAATTATTTCATTATATAATACAATGTAATAATAATAAAGCACACAATAAATGAAATATGCTTGAGTCATCCCCAAACCATCTTATTTCATACCCTAGTCCATAGGAAAATTATCTTTCACAAAAGTGGTCCCTGGTAGGGGCCAGGGAGATGGCTCAGTAGAATAAGCGCTTGCCTAGCAAGCTCAAGGGCCTGAGTTCAAGCCCCAGTTCCGCCAAAAACAACAACAACAACAACAAAAAAAAAAGTGGTCCCTGATATCATAAACGTTGAGGAATGCTATTATATATAGGATTTTTAGCTTAGGAGAAACATAGACCATATAGCTTCAGTATGAGGCAAATGTACCATCTAGGTTTGTATAAATACAGTATTTGATATTTGTTCTACAATAACACTGTATCACAACATAGCTCTTAGAAAAGTATCCTTATTGAAATGCTTAACTGTATATACAAAACTACGTAACTGTAAATAACTTCAAAAAAGAGAAAACTAACACAACCTAAAATCTACTTTAGAACACACATCTGTTCAAGGACAAATAGTTACTTTGATTCAATTGTAATTAAACTAAATGGGAGAGTTTGTTCCCTTTTTAAAAAAATATTTCCCTCCTTATAGTTTCACAGTGACTATTATATTCAATAAATAATTTTCTGGAAAAATAAAATTCACCAAGTTTATCCACTATTAATATAGGAATTTAGTAGATTATGGCTATGCCAATAAGATGTTACATGTCATTTCTTTAAATTCTTATTTCAACGTTTTTGTTTTTTCAATGTATCAGTTATTTAATTAGGTTCTTAGTAAGAAATTTAGAACATTAATTTATGAGGATAAATTCCATTTGTCAGAGTAAAAATGGATCACAGGTAGCCCCAGAACTGAGGAACAGCGTTGATTTTTGCTAAAATCTATGAATCTACCACTTTCTGATACACCTTGCGCTGCTCTGAAACCTGATATCTCAATATCGAAGATCTCATTCTTTTGGTGTCTGGGTTTCCGCAGGTTCTTCTTCTTGAAGTAAGCATCAGTGAGGTGTTTGGAAATTTTCACTTTGCTGATATCAATTTTTGTAGAGGTGGCAATGACAAATTTCTAGTGTGTTCTTTATAGAGGAACACGATTAAGGCTTGGAGGTCTAGTCACAAGTAGCGAGTCACTGGCCAACTGCTTTAAGAAGACCACTCTCCTGCTTCTGTGATGCCTGGAGAGGATGATCAAGATGGTATAGGGAGCGATGCTAGCTCGAAGTTTCCTCACATTCTGACTGAAGGGTTTCTTGCAGTGGCTCAAGAGCTTTTGGGGCACATCTTCAGTAGGGTAATATCTAGGCATTTTTTGAAGCTCAACCACCCAGGTACCATCATTCTTGTCACTACCGACTGGTTTTGTGATAATATCAAGAATCTTCTCCTTATTTCTCTTCTCAACCTTTGATTTCGCAGTTGTGTACTTTCTCTAGTCTTTCTAGAATACATAGCAGATTGGGAGTGTCTACCAATTTCTCTAGCCAGGACAGGACTTCGGCTGCAGTTAGGCTGCCCCTTCTTGGACTTCTTTGCCTTCACCTTATCCTTTTTTTTTTTTTTTTTTTTTACCATTGCCACTGGCAGCAGCCTTCTTGGCTTTGGATTTCTTCTCTTTAGTGCCAGGCTTCTCAGTTTTTTCGCCTGCCATCTTGCAAGATGGGAAAGAATCAATATGTTTTCTGAACTGAAAATATTTTCAACTACCTAGGACTAAAAAAGCAGCACAAAATTCAAAATGAAAAGTTCCAAAGGAGCAATAAACTCTGACAACAAATATTATCAAATTTACATTATTTGTTTAGTGAAATTCTGTACCATTTTAAATTTTTTATCATTATTTTGTATTCTCTTTAAAAAGTAAAAGACTGACATTTATTTAGAGATACTCTGTTCCCAATAAATGTTGTAAGCATTTAATGGGTAATTTTCATTACAACCATGGAATGAGTATTTTATGATCCCCACTTATATATAAGAAAAACAGGGTTAAAGGTTAGTAAATGTATAACTGAGGCTTAAAGATAGGCACCAAGTTCTACCCTTTATCTTCAAATTATTGTCAACTTTTCTTTTTTTTGCGGAACCGGGGATTGAACTCAGGCCCTTGCGCTTGCCAGGGAAGCGCTTATTCCACTGAGCCATCTCCCCGGCTTTTTTTTTTTTTTCGCTCCGAATGCCTTCAAGGCATGACTGGCTGGCTTGTGTTGTGGGGATCCAACCACAGCAACCTGAGCCTGACTGCTTTCTTGAAGCAGCCACTTAAAGAACTGAGCTAAGGGGCAGGCCCCCAATCAACTTTTCTTAATGTCGCCATTTCAAATGACAATTTTTGGAAATTAATATATACAATAGATAAAAAGTGTATGTGGAAAATAATGTACTATAATTAACAGTGATCAGTAACAAAGAACTAATCTTTAGACTAACCCTATAAGTACAGTAACAAACATGGGTATTTAACTGGAATGGATGGGAACTTCAGTATTGTCATGAGCAAGAGAAGAAGCAACAGTATCTGACTGCTTCCTGAGTGTGCTGGCTCAGGAGAACAAATGGTGAAAAATCTCCCAGATAGGGTTGCAAAATGCAGTCACTATTATATTTTTCCAAATGATTTTTGTTTCTAATTTAAATTTCCCTTAAGTGTTTCTGTGCATAGGATATTTACATATTTATAATGCTTGTCCATTATAGATACAACAGAAAAAAACCTACCAGTAATCTGAGAAGCTTGTTTCCTCTAGCTGTCACATATGGTGACTTACCTCACAGCCCAGTTGCACACTGTCTTCTTCACAGGCTCTTTATCTGAGAGGTGGCTTTCTATGCAAGCTTCCAAATCCAACTGTACACTCAATGAGTAACTCTTCAGGGGTTGGTTAAAAAACATTAGGGTATAAATTAAAATTTATTTCAGTGTAGTGCTAAATTGCCAAAGTGGTTTTAGAACTATTAATAATGCACTATCACTTCTATATAAGTGTAGAATAAAATACCACTGAAGAACTTGACATTTTAGGACTTTGGCTGCCCAAGGAAGTAAAAAATTGCCAAGATTGAATTCATTCCAGATTCTCCTCTCTGGAAGGTAGTGTACGCCAGGAAATTATTTCAGTCTATTTACGCTACTTATATCAATATGAGGAAACTTAAATGACAGATGATCTCTATAACACTGGGCCAAACACATTATAATAATTCAGCTTATAGACTAGGACAAAAGAGACTCAGCAAAATTCATCTGGAAAATACGAAAAATTGTTTAATTGTCTCAAATCTGAATTTTTCCAAAAATCAGTTAATCACACAATCATGTGTGATTACTGTGGTAAGAAAGGTATTTTGCAACAGAATGAAAAAGAAACTCATCTACACTACTTGAACTTCTTTTAAAAAATGTATATATCAAAGGAAAAATCTCCCTGGCTTACAAATATGTAGCTCTCCAATCCATTCACTGTCCCACATCTAGGAACCACTCCTCACAGCTCTCTCCTCTGCTTTTCCACTTAGGCTTTCAACAAACTGTGGATTTTATCACCCAAAAGGGGTCAGGTCTGGGGATGGTGACTAACATCTATAATCCCATCACTATTCAAGCTTAAGGCAAAAGGATCCCAAGGTGGAACCCAGACCACATAATTTAGGGAAACCCTGTGTCAAAATAATAAAACTGGGCTGAGGACGTACCTCAGTACAAATGCCTTGGGTTCAACCTAAAGTACTAGAAAAAAAAACACAAAAACAAAAACAGAAGCCCTAAAATATATTTAATTCTTATCTCCACTGCTAATATTTGACTCAAGGTACTGTACATTCCTCTAACTAGACTTCTGAATGCTTTAAGAGTTTTGCATTCCTGTCCTTTCTTAACCAACATAACCATAATGTTTTCAAAATACAAAATTACCACATGCTATCCCAGCTAACATGTCTACAGGGTTTTGCACATAAACTTCATCCTTCGCTTTCTGTGTCAAAGCCACACAAACCTTTCCTCAGATTCCTAAACATTCCATGGCTGCCCCAAAAGAGTTGCCATATATGTTGCACCCCTACCCTTTCTGCTCCATGCTTGGTTTCAATAAGTTGGATACATCTTTTAGGCTATTAGACAGTTTCTCGTTGTTGTGACAAAATACCTGAGAAAATTAACTATAAAGACAGATGATTTATTTTAGCTTGTGATTTTTAAGTTTTCAAATTAGGTGACCTGGCTGCTTTGCAGCCTGCTGTGAGGCAGTATATCATGCTTACACAGGAGACAGTAGAGGACTTGTCTCATCTCATGCCATCCAGAAAGCATAAAGGAAGACAACAGGAGGCCAGAATCCCAGATTCCCTTTAAGGATATGTCCTCCAGTAGCCTAATTTCCACTTTAGTGTGTGAGTCTTTGGGGGAATACTTAAGATCCCATAATATAATCTCCAGACAAAATTGTTTCTTTAGGAGAGATGTTCCTCACCTAATAGTCTAGTTCACATATCCCAGTTAAAAGACCCAGAGAAATGCCTGATCTCAGGCCTGGGGAGATGAGAGAGAGAGAGAGAGAGAGAGAGAGAGAGAGAGAGAGAGAGAGAGAGAGAGAGAGAACATGTTCACACTTTTTTAAAGCCTTCTATTTATGTCTCCACCAGTAATATACATTTCCAAATTTCTACATATTCTCATTAACACTTGCTTTGCTCCATATCTCACTTATATAGTATATCTCAGTTATATAGAATGACTCACTGTGGTCATTCCTTAATGACTAATTATCCTTTTATGTGCTCATGGCCAATTTGTATTTTTTTTTTAAATCTATTCAATTACTTTGTTTTATATTGGGTTACTTTTATCTTTATCAAAGTTATATAGCCTCAATAGAGAGCTCCTATCAGATGCTATATAAGACTTGAAAACTTTTTCCCCTTTCTGTAGATTGTCTTTTCACTATCTTGATGTGTCCTTTGAAACATAAAAGTTTTTGATTTTGGTGAAGCACAATTAACCTATTTCTCTTCTGCTGCTATGCTTTTGGTGTCAATCTACAATCTAAGAAACCATTGCCTAATCCAAGGTCATAAATATGTCATCTTAGGTTTTTCTCTAGGAGTTTTATATGATCCTGTCTCTTACACTTAAACCTCATCTGTTATGGTTTGTGTCTAGTTGTTCCCCAAAGCCTCATGCAGTCATGGGGTGAGGACTTCTAGAGTCTGAGATTAACTCATGATCCATTGGGATTACGGGATTTTGTACTACTGGGATTATGGGCGTGAGTACTTCTCTCAACCTGGGGTGGACAGCCTGAATGCAATTTAAGATAGAAACACTTCCTCTCTGTAGAATTGTTGCTGCTACTTCTCCTTTTTGCTCTCTTGCTTTCTGCCATGTGCCACTCTCACTCTGCCTTGGAGCCAGTTGAGCATGAACTGAATCCTCCATTAACTGTGAACTAAATAAACCTTTCTTTCCTTCATTTTGAGTATTGGGTATCTGTCCCAGCAATGACAGATAAGTAACTGAGACACTCATCCCTTCTCTTTTGGCTCCATCTGAGTTTTTGGATTGTTTTATCTAGCTCTGTGAAGCATGCTGTTGGTATTTTGACACTGCACTGAATATGTATAATATTTATAGGAGTATGGTCATTTGGTGCAAGAGGCATCTTTCTATTTTCTGATGTGCTCTTCAATCTCCATTTTCAGAATTCTGTCTTGTATTTATGTTGTTGACGTCCTTCACTTCCTTGGTAGGTTAGTTTCTAGGTATTTCATTGTTCTTGATGCTATGGTGGATGGTATTTTTTGTAAATTTCTTCTGAGTTTATTATTGTATACAAATTTTAATGATTTTTCTATGCTGGTTTTATATCCTGGTATGCTGCTAAAGTTGGCTATTCTAAACGTTTTTTGGTAAGAGCTATTTAGGTCTTCTATGTAGAGTATCATATCTGTAAATAATGATAATTTGAGTTCTTCCTTTCATATATGTACCTTTTTGTTTCTTTTCTTTTCTTTTTTTTTTTTGACCTATTGTTCTGGTCCATGTTTCAAGGACTATGTTGAATAGAAGTGGTCATAGCGGGCATCCTTGTCTTGCCCCTGATTTCAGTGGGAATGTTTTTAGATTTTCTCTAATATGATGACCTTTGTTTTCTACTGCTCCAACAAATTAATTTCCTTATTGAAGACTAGAACTAACAAAGTGTAAAACCTTGAAGAAGCCTATTAACCTGCTGTGAATGTTGGGTTTCTTCTCAGTTGGAGTAGGGGTAGATAAGCACCAAGATTTTCTTGCTATAATTTTTCTGTTTCTGTTGTTTGTGGGCAGAGAAGGAATGCACAACACCAACAGGTCCAAGGTCAATGAGACTCATCACCCATGTCTGCTCTATATGAAGTGGATTATAACTCTATTAATTTTATTATTTATTTATTTTTTAATGTACAGGGTCACACTACACAGCTTGGACTTGTGGTGATCCTCCTGCTTTCAGCCTCCCTAGTGCTGGGATTACAGGCATGTGCCACTATGCTGGGACTTGGTGGCTAGCTCTGCGCACCCAGGGAGTAGAGCTGGGGCAGCATGTGGTGCCAGCGATCAAATCCCATCCTCTGCACTTGCCTAAGCAGGTGCTCAGTCCACTGAGCTATCTCGCCAGCTCATAATCTCTTGTTCTCTTACTTTCTTTGTGGCTGCTTTCAGCATTGCAACAAATTTAACATTTTGTCTTCAATTTTAGACACCTCTCTAGTCACACTGGCTATTTACACAAATTACTTATCCAGTTTTTTTTATTTTAGGTAATACTGACATCTTCTCAAGGATTCTATATCACTGTTGAATCTGTCATTCAAACTTTGAAATATTTTGGTTAGTTCATCCAGCTAGCTTATTTCTCACAAATTCACTGTGCATGTATAACTGCACCCCGACACACACACCTTTTGGTGGGGCAATACTGCAGGCTGAGATCTAGTACAGAGTTTGTGGATTATAGCAAGATTTTTAATAAAATGTTGCCTCCCTCATGAAGTCTTTTCAGCTTTGTATGTCTGGTGATACTATTTATCCTCCTGTTGTTTCCCTTAGTTTGGTCTCAGTCCCTGTGTTGTTAGTTGATCTTCTCTGAGAGACACAGAGACTTCTCTATTCAGCCATGTTAGATCCTGCTAATACTTTTTCTTGCCTAACTGTCCTAATTAGAACTTTTAGACATCATTGAAGAGAAGGGGAAACAGACCGCAACCTTATCTTTTTCATTATCTTCATGGGAGTACATTTTATCTTTTACTCTTAAGTATAATGTTAATTGTATGGTTTTCATAGATTCTTCATGTTGAAGAAGTTCCCTTCTGTCTCTTAGGAGCATTTCATTTCATCTAAGTCAGCTAAAGCATACATTTGTTCTTTGTATCCCTTCATAATTCTTTTTATTTTTTAAAGAGAATAAAAAACAGTAGTGTCAGTTTGTACAGTGTTTTTATAATAAAAAGGACTCAGATTTTGTTAAATGCTTTTTTATGTCAATTAAGATGTCTTTTTCCTTTTGCTCTAGAGTAATACGATGTGTTATGCTGATTTATTTTTATGTGCTATGCCAACCTTGTATTCAGAGATATATTCCCTTTAGTACTGATTTGTAATTAACTTCATATGTTACTAGACTTGATTTTCGGAGGATTTTTTACATCAGTTTCACAAGGGATAATAGTCTATAGTTTTCTTGTGCTGCCTTTGTCTCGTTTTGTTATCAGAACCAGAGAAATACTGCCTTCCCAAAATGAGTTAGAAGTATGCTCTCATATTCCATCTTTTAGAAAAATGTGAACAATTGCTATTAATTCTTCCTTAAATTTTGATAGAATTCATCAGTA